GAGGAGGAGGAGGAGGAGGAGGAGGAGGAGAAGGAGAAGAGGAAGAAGGAAGAAGAAGAAGGAGAATGAGAAGAAGAAGAAGAAGAAGAAAGAAGAAAGAAGAAAGACGAAAGAAGAAGAGCAACTCAAAATGTATGTCATTTGATGATATGGGGCCAGAAAAAAAAAATCCTGTATTCAAGAAATTTTTACTGTTGTATCTGCCATCTACACTAAAAAAAAGAGAAAGATGCAAATTTATAGTACCTTCGCTATGCCCACCAGCCAATCAGGAGCAAGTATGCAAATTAACCCAACAAAGATGGTGGGTTAATTTGCATACACAGGTGCCAAGTGGCCAGGGGCCGGGCGGGATGCTTGCATCATCGCCATGGCGACAATACAGGTGTTCTGCACCACCCCAGTTGCTCCGGGCCTCTGGGCAGCATGGGAAGGCAGAAAGGCGGCTCTAGCTTGAGCGGAGATGGTGCCAGCAGCCAGGGGAAGGAAGGCTCATTCTTGCACGAATCTTTTTGCATTGGGCCTCTAGTATATAATAAACAATATAAAATGATGAAAGTACTTCCAACGCAACACCATACAAAAATGAGTAGGACAAAAACCTTTGTGTCCTGTTTCCTTGTCACTATTGCTTCAAAAACTACAATTAATCCTGGGACACATCTTTATTCTGCTGCTTGTCAGTTGACCACATAATGTACAAAAATTATTTTATCTTGAGTGGCAACAACTCAGCATGCTGGACTTACTGATTTCAGAGTCCTGCTCCTCACTACTTGATCAGGGTGAATAATGCCTGATCCACACAAATATAGAAAATGACAAATCTCATTGATTCTATTCACTGTGAACATGGGGAACAAAGAGACTGATTTGTCAAAAGGCTGTCTACTGTTTAAGATGCTATTTTCTGAGGCTAATTTTTCTTCTCACTTTTATTATATTAAATAAATATTTTAAAAAAATATATTTTATTGATTTTTTACAGAGATGAAGGGAGAGAGATAGAGAGTTAGAAACATCGATGAGAGAGAGAAACATTGATCAGCTGCCTCCTGCACACTCCCTACTGGGTATGTGCCCGCAACCAAGGTACATGCCCTTGGCCGGAATCGAACCTGGGATCCTTCAGTCTGCAGGCCGACGCTCTATCCACTGAGCCAAACCGGTTAGGGCTTAAATAAATATTTTAAGTTGGTCCAATCATAATCTTTTGCACACAGTCAGCTGGACTAGGATTCAAACAATCAAGGAAAAATAATGCATGGCAGGACAGAAAAAAAGAATGCATCCAGAAGCAATACATAATAAGAAGAAGACAGAGCAAAATGCACAAACATCCAGGAGAAGAAAGGGTGCAAATAGAGGAAGAAATGATGGCAAGAATAAAAATAAGCCAAAGGCAGGGAAGGACACTGAAAATAAGGATAATGCAGGACAAGCTAAAGAATGAAGAGGAAAGAATAAAAAACAAGAGTGAAGCCAGAGAAAAGGTGAGGAAAATGTAGAGTAAGAACATCAGAACAAAATGGGGAAAAGGAAGTCAAGACTTAAGGGCAAACAAAACACAAAGGCTGGAGAACACCACACAAAGAAATGGGATAGAAATGGAGGTGTCTAGATTATAAAGTGGGGGGAAGTAAGCAGGCAGAAGGGAGGGAGGTTGCAGAGTAAAGAGACAGGGGAGCCTGGCTGTCTTTTACAGGTGGAGTTATGTCACTTGAATGCAGCTTGCAAATGAGTGTGAATTATTTTACTGGTAACATTCAAAGTCCTGCTATAGTAAGTGTTAGGAATTTGTCATTGTAGCGTGAGCCTTAACTAAGGCTACTGACTTCCTTTCATATTCAGCCAAAGCACCTGAAATTCCATCCATTTGCAGTTTGCAAGTTCTATTCAAATGGCACAAACTGGCAATAGGTAGGCTAGGAAAAGTCTGGACATTTAAAAAAAAAAGAAAAAATCTATTTCTATTTAAAAATAATCTTACTCTCATTTACTGACAGTTTCATTATTTTAGTGAATAAGTTATTTTTTCAAACCAAGTTGACTTGAATTTAGACAGCTTTATGAAAATTCCAATAATTCTTGAAATATGTAAATTGCCACTATGAGAACCAAATTGCTAAAATTAAACCATCAAATCACCATTAAAAAGGCCTGTTGCCAAGGTAGTGAAAAGAAAAACTGCCTTAGGGAAAAGAACAGTTTAAGGTTGTTATTAAGGACAGCAAAAATGATTTTGTTACTCACCAAATCAAAAGAGATCAGAAGTAGTTTCTTAGCTCTGAACTGAAAGTTGAAACCTATATATAACTTCTGCTTTTTTGTCTTGTCATTTTGTTCTTTAAGAGCCCCTGAGCAAATTATTCATTGAGTGGAGTTTTATATCTTCAAGTTTAACTCTGTTTAGGTGTTCATTTTTTGTTTCTCCATGGAAACAAACATGTTACCATGGAAACTGGGTTGCACAAAATATAGATAGTACAGAGAGCTTTATAGAAAGAATTAGGCTCATAACACAAAGTTAACTACTTAATCCAAGTACTATCTGGGCTCTCTAATAGCTAACATATTATGGTATCTCAAAAAAAATAATTTGACCCTACTATGGCGTATCAAATTCTGGAACAATAAAACAAAAGGAAACTATGCTGTTTTCTCATTAGAGAAAATGTAAAGGTTTATTTTTCACTAAAAAAGAAAACAGCAAACGGATTAATTGTGGTGATTGTTTGCATTGAGTGGAAAAGATGCTTTAAGATTATGTGATGAGTGCTTTTTGCACACTGACAGTCGTATTCCACATCTCACCTACTGTGAGATGTGCTGAGCCTCAGGTCAAGGAAAGAGT